TTTTTTTTTTTTTTTTTTTTTTTTTTTTTTTTTTTTTTTTTTTTTTTTTTTTTTTGTTGCTATTCTATTTCATTTCAGGACCATATTTATGTCATATTACAATCAATACACTATCCTGATGTTAACTAACGTCACAAAAATTACATTTTTGGGCACTGTTTTGTAATTAATGTATTTTGATGGGCTCGTTTTTGTTTTTTGTTTTATACTATTTTTCAGATTTGTCTCAGTCATGAGTTAACTTAAAATGATGTCACATAAGTGTAGTACATGTTAGTGTGCTGGTGCGTAATTGATCGTTATCTAATTTTCAAGTATTTTTTTTGTGAACATAAATTATTCACTATATTTTTATCTACTCGTTATATATTGAAATTTAAATATTTCTAACGTGATAATTTAAATTGAGTTTTTTTATTAAAAAAATGTAAATATTATATCATTGGAAATATATTTCTTAGCACATGAGTTTTGAATCTATGACCTAATCGAGAAGAGAACCAGACAACATCCTTAACCGAAAAGGAAACTATACAATAATCTTAACTCAGCACGAGAACGAGTGCCAGCAAGAACGCTGAGTCTCAAAGGAAGTGAATTGTGAGATCCCATATCGGTTGAAGAGGAAAACGAAGCATTCTTTATAAGAATGTAGAACTCTCTCCCTAATAAATAACGGGTCAAAGCAGACAGCAGACAATATCAACTAGCAGTGGGCTTGGACTATTAAGTCTAAGATTACAACCAATATAAAACAATTAAAAAATAAATAAAAATAGATTAATGCATCATTTTTTAAAAAATTATCAGAAGTACAGTACATCCTATTTGGGAAAATCAACCTTTTCATGAACAAACTTCCCAAGATAATGGCAACCCAATGACTAATGAGTATGAACAGAGCAAGTACATAGTGCAAATGTTCAAATTAGTACAACTCTAGTGTATAAACAGAGTGTCAAGGCGTGTGTAGTTGTTATAATCAGAGAGACAAACTAAGAGGAGAAGAACTCACTCAATCGCCACTCGCACAGCCCCTGCAACCGCAATGCACACACTCGATAACCTTCTCCTCCCTTAGATGCTTGGGAACCCGGCACACGCACGTGGTCGCAAAATTATGATCTCGAGGTTGTATGCATCTTAGACAACACAAACGTTCATAACCAGGCTGCACAACAGACGACAACAGACACTTCATCAAGGCAGAAACATATATGAACCGTCCCTTGTGTTCGAAGATTTGAGAAAGGTAAAGTACATCACTACAAGTACTTGTTATAAGACTACTACTGACACCGATCGATTCAAATCATATAAACTGTTATGTATGTTACGCTCATCCCAACCATTCTTTTGAAAAAGGCACCTAGGTGCAGTGCTGTGTGCCTTGCTTTTTCTTGTACCGTGTACTGCCCTCTATTTTTCTCAATTAATGGGGAAAAGAACCCGGGTTTTCAAATTTTTGGATAGGATGCCTATTTTCCCAAAAAGGTTTCTTACCCTAAGCCTATCGCTAGCAGATAGTTATCCGCTTCGGCCTGTTACATATCGCCATCAGCCTCACAATTTTAAAACTCGTCAATTAGCCACACCCTTATAAAGAATGTTTCGTTCCCCCCTCCAACCAATGTAAGATCTCACAATCCACCCCCTTTCAGGACCCAGCATCCTCTCTGGCATTCATTCCCCCTCTTCGATCGATATGGAATCTCACAATCCACCCTCCCCCCTTCGGGACTCAACGTCCTTGCTGGCACACTGCTCGGTGCCTAGCTCTGATACCATTCGTAACAGTTCAAACCCACCACTAGCAAAATTGTCCGCTTTGGCCTGTTACGTATCGCCGTCAACCTCGCAATTTTTAAAAAACACGTTTGCTAGGGAGAGGTTTCCACACTTTTATAAAGAATGTTTCATTCCCCCCTCTAACCACGTGGGATCTCACTTAAACCCCATTTCTTCAACTTCCAGCATCCCATACAACAATACTATGTTGTCTTACATTCTAGAAGACTATATGCACCACAATGCATCTTATACTTCAAAAGATACTGATCTAACTTACAACACTTCTTCCCAAAATTATGGCTCAAGTGTCATTTGGTTACTTCATACTACTTATCTAAAACCACCAAGCTTTCAGAATATTCTGTTTAAGTCCCTAGAAGCGACTTCTTTTTAATAACCCAACCAACAAATTTCATTCATCCCTAGACGTAACTTCGAACACTTGGCCTACGTAGACACTAACCCTTAAGCAAATGAACAAGATTCATACCATGTCAAGCTTATGTTAAACATTTTACAGAAAACATGAGAGAGGACAAAACAAACCTTCTTCCATTTTGCAATTAAGTTACGATCAGCATAGCCTTGGTCCAAACAGAATTCAAACAATTCTTTAGATATCTCCTTCCTTCGATGATAGAGATCAAAGATATAGCGGCTCTTCTGATGCGCTATTTTGAATATAGGCCACAATGTCTCACATTTTCTCTTACCATCATGTGGATCATTCTCAGCTGCAATCATCAAAAGAGTAAAACCAGCATCAGATTCATAAACCCTAATGAAGAACAACGAAAATATTAACAAACACATGGTAATGAAAGATAGAGAGACCTTCTCTCATCTTAGCTTGCAATTCTCTGAGAGTTGGTTCAATTAGCTCCCATCCCTCCGGATACTTGACACGGTTTGTCTTAATCTTGGGCATTTTTGCTGCAAATTTGTCAACGATATACGATAATCAAGTACAAAATTCACGGAAGCTTATTGAGTACAGAAAAACAAATTCAGTAAGAACGTTTAATCGGACTGCCATGTATTTACAAGACAGTATGATGTCCAGCTTATACTTGAATCGGATTCTCCTTTTCGTTTTACTTCTATCGATAGATATACTGCTCCTACACATATCGATACACAAACTCCAGAAATCCAAAAACCCTAAGACAAAGGGGCTGAACAAAACAGAGAAAGAAAGGGGGAGTTACCTGGGAAATATCCTTGCCCGGTGGGTGATTGAACACTCCGGACGGCAAGATATTGAGGCCGTCAGAGAGGAAAGGGACAAACCGCGAATCGGAGCGGAGCGGAGGCGAGAGAAATGCAAACGAGAGGAATCTGAGCCTGAGGTAGAGACAAAAGAGAGAATTTTGAAATTCTCTTTTAAATTAAAATTAAAAATTAAAAATATATACCATTGAACTTTTAAAAAAATAAAAATAAAATAAAAAAAAACTTTTTAAAAAACTTCAAATCCACATACTTTAAACGTTTTTTAAAAAATTAAAAAATATCTTATACTCTTACCTATATTATACTTTTAGAAATATAAAAATAACTATAAACTTACGAAAGTAAAGTTAAAACCTTAAATTTGAAAACGTTTAAATAATCTATAAGTAGTCCCACTTTTGAAAGTTTTTTTAAAAATCGAAAACAATAATGAAACTTTTTAGATAATATTTTTTAAATGAAGTACTGACAATTATCATCATCCAAAACTAACGGTAAATATATTTTTTTTTAGACCAAAAAGTTGAGAGGTTAGGAGGTTAGGCTCCACTTATTTTATATCAGGTTGCCAATCATTTTTTGGTCAAAGAAAATTCCCCATTGGTCATTACTTCCATTTGCTGGAAGGACGAGGCAACTCATTTTTCTGGTATCAAATTGATATATAAAATGGAACTCCGGAGACCTTCCAAGCCATGAAAATGGTGAAGCCTTGATACAATATTCTCGATCACATTTACATTACGCTACCAATATTAATTACAGCAAGAACAAGATGTTGGAATAAAGGGCTTTACCAGCCATGGCGACTGCCTCTTTCCATGGTTGATGCTTTCCTTTTTGCTAGAACAATTCGAACTCCAAGTGCTCTCCAGTCGACTTGCTTTCCAAATACCTGAACTTGTTTTGTTGAGAAATCATGCTTGGAATGTCCATATCACATACCTCCGGGACTTCTGGAGGAATTGCACAACGGATCAACGCCCAGTTTAGCCCCTCGAAGAACGGGTGCTGTTTGATTTCGGCCGCTCCTTTTTCCGTCCCGAATCGACTTTCAGGCTCCTTCACTAACAGCCCTCGGATTAGATCCCTTGCTTGGAAACTAACGATCGGGCTGTCGGGGAAACTGAGGCTCTGCAATACTACATTGGCTAATGTCTCTTCGTTGTTGGATCCCTTGAAAGGGGTTCTACCATATAGAAGTTCATAGAGAAAAACACCAAACGTCCACCAATCGACTGCAGCTCCATGACCCTCTCCTTTGATGATCTCCGGTGCCAAATACTCGTGAGTGCCAACGAAGGAATTTGATCGTGCATCGGTGGGTTCAGCAACGAGCTGGGGCAATGACCTGAACTGAGTTGTGAGGTCGGGTTTTGACTTCCTTGTTTTGGAAGCAGCTGGTAAGAACCTTGGGCTGAAGCATGGGACTTGGCATGATGGTTCAATGCAAAAAGGCTCAGCACAACTAGAATCTGTACATGGACCTGATGTCTTCGCCGAGTCTGAATCGGAGGATGATGACTTCAGGAGTGTTGGACAGACCGTGCACCTAAGCGACAGGTCGAAGTCGGTGAGCATTATGTGACCATCTTCCCTGACAAGAATGTTCTCGGGTTTTAAATCTCGATAAATAACTCCAAGCATGTGCAAGTACTCCAAGGCAAGGAGGACCTCAGCAACATAAAATCTGCAAAACGGTATCGAAGCAGTTTTAGGATGAGTTCAACAAGAAATGCACGACTGCTTGAGCCGAACCAGCTACAAGATTCAATAAGTTATCATAAATAGACTATGGCATTCGAGGGAATCGAGAGTGTGCCATTACCAAGATTGTGCTATTGACATTGTCATAAAATATGGCATTCGAAGGGATCGAGAGTATAGATATCAATTTGATCAAATCAACTTGAAACTGCATGTTTGTGCTTAACAAAGTATAGATTAAGTATATATGAGTAGCATGCACCTCAGATTTTACGTACTTTTCATGCGATGTTCGGTGCTTTTTGCATCTATTTAACGTCAGCAAACAAGATGCAGAAGGTGAAAACAACTAGCTAAAACTTTTACCTTGCTGCAGGCTCAGGAAAAACTCGGCCGAGCTGCTTCTGCCGCAGAACATGAAGATCTCCACCGGGACAATATTCCATGACAAGACATGATAGATTATCTGAAGTAAATTGAACATAAAGTGTTGGGAGGAATGGATGATCTAGCATTCTCAGTATTTCTCTCTCGGTTTGCGCTCTCGGCATTTTCTTCCGTCTTGCTAGAAACTCGTTGTCCATGACCTTAATGGCAAATAGGCAATTAGTGCCATTTAGCTCGGCAAGATACACCGTTCCAATGTCCCCACAACCAAGCTTCTTTAAGAGATTGAAATGCCTCAAGCTGAGAACCCCATGCTGCAATTGTGCGTGACGTATGGCTTCCCACCTTACATCTTTCGACATATGAGGTCTGTTACCATTACTCGATCCATGCCCATTGCAGTCATCACTTATAATACTCGTAGTACTGCTACTGTACTCGCCTTGACTACTTTTTGAGCTTTGAGAGAACTCACCCTTATCTCGTACCCTTGTATTGTTTTTTACTCGAACATCAGAAGCCTTGCCATCCGTGATGCCTGATTTGTTAGCACCAGATTTTGAACTAGCATTATTTACATCAGTACCAAGAGCACTAAACTGGGAAGCAGAGCCCTTCTTCGAGTCTTTAGCTGCACTGTTCAATGCGCAGTGGCACCTCTCACATATCAACTTCTTTTTACTAGGATCCGTGTCGCCATTTACTGCATTGTATGTGCTTGAACTACATGTTGGAGAACTCAAATCCTGTTTGACTTTCTTTTTAACCAGCCCCTTGTTCCGAATAACTGGTTTGATCGAACGGGAATTACTTCTAGATAACTTGCTTACCTTATTGCCACTACCCAACTTAGATGAAGAAGCAGTTTGCAGCCGACCTTTCCGTCCAGCCTTGGACGATGACACTTTATTTCCTACCCTGCTCGAGACAAGAATCTTCTTCTCCTTATCTAATACCTTCTTAATCGTACAAGAAGATATAGATGGTGGGGTAATGGACTCCTCTTCCTTCTCCAGCTCTGCCTTTAATGTTTGAGGTCCAACTTTCCTTGACAGAGTGGTATTGACGTTTTGTTCGACAGTACCAACCTCAATAGAACTTTGTGTTTTCGTAACCGTGAACTGAGGAGAAGAACGAGAACTTTCAGCTGGTGATTTAACAGCAGATGCTTGGACATGCTCAAGTCTCTGCTCAACGTTCTGTTTTTTGCCCTCTGGAACCAGGGATATTTCGACCACACGCCCCCCCTTACCGTTATCTGAAGAAGAGCCTGACTCAGTGGCTTCAACCATAACGGAATTGTACAATGTCTTGATCCGACCAGCTTCCGAGAGTCTTGACAAGGTAGCTGGTTTTGATGATCTTTTCATAGCAGCCATCTCAGACGCCTTTGAAAGGCACAGTTCCCTGAGTGCCTGCTTCAAACTACCAGAATCAGAAGTACCAATACCTGGCGAGCGAGGCATGCCAACACTTATTGGCTTCTTTAGCGTACTTTTTCTCAGCGCATTTACATCTACTTGTGAATGACCTAAGCTCTTGGATGCATTTTTAATACTAATCGACTCAAAAAGCTGATTGATATCATCCTCTAGAAATCCCTTGAATCCAATTTTCAATGCAGAAGGTTTCCGATCTCGGTGAGATACAAAATCCGAATGACGAGATTCTACCTTACTTTGAACAGCCTTAATTTCTTCCCTTGCTTCAACAATTTCACATGTATTAGATCCCATTACTACCTTCACTCTCAATACCAAAGCCCGTAGATAGCGGCTCCACAGAACTTAACAATGGTGTAGTTTATTGATCCACAATGCTAACTCATTTCCGACATTTCAATTTACATACAAATGATTTAAAAATCTAGAAACCGAACTCTCACGCTCATGAGCTATTCTTCGCATCACTAGCACATTGGCAATCTCCTCTTTTGCGCCCCATAACCTGAAACATTCAGAGTACGAAATCATCACAAAAACTTCAAGATATAAGCTAATTCACCATACATTAAAACAGGCTAAGAGCTCAACAGCTTAACCCAAATGTATATCTCTCATCAATGTTTACTTTCTTATTTGCTGTTGTCACATTTGGAAAGAAACAGCATAGTTTCCAAATTAATAGCCATGTTTCATGTCGTTTTCATAAGCAACACATTTGCAAGTATGATGATTTCATAAACCCTATTATCTTGAAAACAGATATCAATGTTGGGAGTTACCATTGTTATCCCATTGGTTGAAGATAACTCAATCCGCTCTCAACATTTGGAAGAAGAAGAAACACACTCAAACAGAACAAACTACACCAACAAATAATAAATCTCAAAGGAAACATAAAGAGAAGAGAGATAAAGAAAGTTCGTATAACTTCATGATTAGCATCTATTATTGCTACACACCAGATGCCCAGACAGTCACTAAGATCAAGAACCACAAGATTTAGAAAACATCAAGGAGAGAAATCAATCACAACTACAGAAATCGCTTACAGAAACAACTGGATCGAAAAAAACAAACCACAAAGCCATCATTCAAACTTGAAACCACGAAAATCCTATCTCGACGATTCACAGATACATCTAAGATTCGATAGTAAAATCATTCTACTCGAAACGACATTCTAGATCAATAAAACAACCAAATTAGCTCAACGAATAAGAGATAGATTGAGCTCCAGAGGAGACGAAATCAAACAGGAAAATGAGCAAAAGAAAGGAGAAGCAGAAGAAGATGAGATCAGACACAGATTTTACCTGAGAGACAGTGAGCGAAAACGGCGGAATGGAGGTGCGTGAGAGGATTATGAAGAATGCAAACGAGATCAACGCTTAAACAGTAAGAAAAACCTAGGTCGTGGTCCGGAGCGGTGGGCGGAGAGAGAACGGCAGGGCAGAGAGAGATGTAGAGAGAGTAAAATAGTATCTTTCTCTTCAGAATTTCTGATACTGCCTCTGATTATTTAGGAGAGAAGAGGCCCCACCTTTGGCAGCTTATGAACAGTGGGTTTATTGCAATAAATAAATATAATAAATGTTACTTTTCCTATTAATAATTATTACATTTATTTTTCTTTCTTTTTATACCCTAACTATTTCCCTTTTTAATTAAATTACCCCTATCCTCAACTTTTTCATCTATTTTATATATAGAGAGATTTAAAAAATAATAATATTATTACTGAAATTAAAAGTTTTAAGATGAAAATGGTATTTAAATTTAAATTAAATATTATAAAAGGGAGAGGTTCAAAAGGAGAATTTCATTTCATTTCTGGAAATTATATAAATATATATATATCAAAATAACATTTGTGGAAATTAGTTTTTTATTGCTCAATTAATTTAAAACCTAAATTCAATGGATTAATATAAATTAGCATCGTAAATGATTTCACTCCTTAGTCCATAATTATTGGATTTGGAAATAAAATACTTATATGTTTAATTATTAAAAGAAAATTCCTAAAATTAATTAAATTATACGAAATAGGATTGGATTTTAAAATACCAATATCAATTAATTATTTCACGACAATGTATTAAAATAATTCGGATCTTTAATTCCAACACATGGGTTAAATTCTTATAAACTTTTATTATTTTTAATTAAATCAAATTATAACTAAATTAATAAAAATATGTTTAACTTTTTGGTATTTAACCATTTGTTAGCATATATACTGGGGTTAAAAGTATTTTGAAATTTTTAAAAATGTTTAAAAGAAGCATTTTTTATTTAAAATTTAAAGATAATATTAAAACTTTTAAAAGTTCAAAAATATTTTTACATATTTTAAATAACTTCTTATATAAAATTTATATTAAATAATTTTAAGTTTTAAGAGAAAATGAGAGATTTATCGTAGCAAAAGCTTTAAATACCTATAGATCTCAAACACTTACCAACCAAACAACTCCAAAATAAATTAATTAAAAAAAAACAAAAAACAAAAATAGTAACTAATATTTTGAATATTTTTTTTTTCTTTCCAAATTATAGCTGTACTAATTAAACCAAACAGTAAAATTGGATGAAAAAAGGAGACAAAATAAAATTGTACTTACTTTGTCATGTGATCCATCTATTATTGGAGGGATCAAACTGCAAATACTAAATGCTAAATACTTTTTCACAAAATTTTATTAAAATTTTAATAATATTTTTAATTAAAAAAATATTATTACTACTTCCGTGAAATTTTAAAAGTAGCGTTAAACTCTTTTATCTTTAAAAAGAAATTTAAAGTTTTTACCCTCCATAAATTATTTATAAATTTTTTAATATTATTTTTTTAAAAAAATTTATGATTACTTTCTAAACAGGTTACTTTTTATAAGTACACGTTTCAACGTAATTATAAAATATTTTTTATTTTAATTTAATGATATTATTTAAAATTTTAAAATAATGAATGTATTTTTTGAGATAAAATATTTGTGTTGGGAATTGACATTCGAGAAAGTAGCATTACGTTAAAATGGACACTGTTAAATTATTGTGGTGATGGATGCAAGAGAAATTGGAGCCTTGCTCAATATTTTGGCCACAAATAAATAAATAAATATATATATATATATATAAAGCTTATAATAATAAATAATAATATTATTATTATTTGTATTTTTATTATTATAATAAAAATAGTTTAAAAAATAAAATTTTGAATGAAATTTGGTTAATCCAATTTACAAAAAGAAATGAATCGAAAGGTAAACGACTCATGTTCAAAATTTAAATCCAGCGCTTGATATCTTAGACATTTCTTTACATCGCCTACTACATAGTTACATTACCTACTTCATACTTCTGAGAGTGAAGATTATCCTATAGACCAACTTTCAATATATTTTGTCTTCACTCACATGTATCTTTAAAAAAAATTAAAAAATTCACTAAATATAAAATTAATTATAAAGTTTCGGTGTGATATAAGTTAAAATTAATTATTTTTTTAAAATGTGAATTGTGAGGGAGAGAGAGAGAGGAGGGAGGATTTAAATCCTTCACATTTTCTTCTGACCACTTTTGTCTTCTTCCTCTGTTCCCTCTGTCTCCTAATTTTGAATTGGCTCTCAATGCGATGCATTTATTAATCATTTGTCGACGCTGCCCCTTTTTGTTCCTTTCCCCCACCCTCTTTTCCCCTTTTTTATTTTATTTTATATATATATATATATATTTAATTATCCATACCAATTTATTAAAAAATAATAAATTCAAATAATTGTAAGGTGGTTAATATTTGCTTGCATTACAAGGGAATTTACATTATTCTGTTAGAATTTATTAATTACAATAACACAAACATATAATCTTATGGCCGCATTAAAATATATTACGTGCATCACACTTTATAATAAAAACCATACAATAATATATTCTGTATTTAAAACGTTAGGTATAACACTCCCATAATTTTCAACCTCTCAATCTTATATTAATGACGGGGATTCCTTCCAAAAATCAAAGTCAAGTACATATTTTAATAATTGATAAGACGTGAAGAAAATAATAATTAAAATAAAATTAATTTTTTTAAAGGTAATTTTATTTTATAAGTTTTCAAATAAATACTTAGTTTATATTTGACATTTTAATATTATTTTAATTAATTTTAGGAGGGAGGAGAGGAGAGGGAAATTCTACATTAATTACTTTTAATGTAAAATGTAATCTTAATTGCTTTACTTTATTAATAATTAATTGATTAATTATGTAATATAAATATTTCAATTAATTAATTTTTTTTTTCATAAATTTGTATTATAATTTAATATTTTATTTTATTATGGGAAGGAGTTAAAAAAAGGAGCACGGTAATTGATGAGTTTAATGTATTTATTATCTAATTAACTTTAATATATATATATATATTAAGTTCTAATATTATGAAATTAATATATTTTATATGCGTGACATATATATATATATAATTCCTTGGTTGTAAGGACCATCCCAAATCTCAGTCAGTAAATCTAGAAAAAGGAAAGGCTAGGAAAGTGATAAAAATTTGAAAGTGAAAAGCAAAATAAAAAAATAATAAAATAATAATAATAAAAAAATAAAAAAGGCTACAATAATGGGGGAAAAGAAACCATCACTTTCACATCGCTATGCCCACCATTGAAAGGGATGGTTATAAACTTGTCAACTTCCCTTAAATACCAACTCACAAAAACATGAAAGGAATGGCCTTTTCCATGTTTTCGGCACTCGGGTAGGGTTCAGTAAGCCATGACCAACTCGAAATATTGTTCGTTTTGGCTTGTATCAACTTCATGCTCACAATTTTAAAACGCGTCTGCTAGGGAGAGGTTTCCGGGATGTTTCTCGCCTAATGATTGGCTCTAATACCATTTATAATAGCATCAAAACCACTACTAACAAATATTGTCCGTTTTAGCCCATTATGTATCACCGTCAGCCTCATAATTTTCAAACACGTCTACTAGGGATAGGTTTTTACACCTTTATAAGAAATGTTTCCCGCTGGGTAACGACCTCTGATACCATTTGTAACAATCCAAAGTCCACTACTAGCAGATATTGCCTGTTTTGACCCGTTACGTATTGTTGTCAACTTCACAATTTTAAAACGTGTCTACTAAATATAAGTTTCCAAAATGCTTCCCGCATGATGATTGACTCTGATATCATTTGTAACAAATATTGTCCGCTTTTGTCCATTATATATTGCTATCAACCTCATAATTTTAAAACACGTCAATTAAAGAGATGTTTTTACATTCTTATAAAAGAATGATTCGTTCTTCTCGATCAATTAAAACAAACCGAAAGGACGATGCACAGGTAGAGAAATGTTTGGCGTAATATGTGTAAGTTCTAAGACCCAAATTGAGTAATTTCCAAAATAAAATGAATGAATATGAATAATGTTAATTTTGTGGTCCTTTTTCGATGGAAAGCTTCCAAATATTAATGTGAACTCAGATTTGTTTCCTTTCCTGAATATTAGTCTTCTCCTAACTTTGATAAATAATATTGTCACACTTTTTTCTTATTATATGCTTGTCCTCTCTGCCAACTATATAATTCAGTTTTCATTTCGTGTCTCCTTACCCCTTTATGACGTCATAATTGGCTGGATAATAACGTATCACTAATTTTTACAATGGTTAAATTAAAAAAAATATATATATATATAATTTCATCTTCTCAATTTAGAAATACGTGTCAATGTTTATAGATCATTAATCAATTTAATTTTTTTAATTAGTTTATTAACTAAATATAACTTAAATTTTATGTCTAAATTTTTTTAATTAATGGGTCGTAACGGGTTCTAATCATCATGCCTTTTTTTTTCCCTTTGCCCGATCTAATATGCACTCGCAGAGGGGTCTTGGGTAATAGGTATGTTCTCAAATGAATTCCTATAACTATAAGAAGAAGTAAGCATTCCGGATAAGAACTGAAAAGGGTGTTTAGCTCCACGAGAAAACTCGATCAAATCTTTCTTTGTTTTGCTTAATACATTTAATTTAACCTATGGTTTGCAGAGAATCGGTTGTTTATGAAGAAGGACATCTTTGCTTTTACTCCTAATGGGCCCCGGGACTAGTGCCTATGGAGATTTCCCTTGGTCTAATTCTACGCCTTATGACGAAAGGGGAGTCGACAACGTGAGCTTGACTGCCTGGCTTTCGGCCTTCTTTCTTGATCCAACTTCATTATTACTCTAATCGACCTACTTAATGCTTGTGCTGGATTCTTATATCTTAAAATGGGCCGATGGGCCGATGATTCAGGTTGGGCTTTGTACAGAGTAGGCCGGTTTAAGTGGGCCGGGCTGGTAAATGGTGGGCCTTGAGCTGCTATTCGACTGGGTTTAGATCGGCCTTTGGGCTTTTGGCCCAGTAACTGTCTAAAGTGAAAGCGCCTTGAAGTTAGTAACGATTAAGGCAAAGGAGCTGCCACGTCGAATTGAAATTCAGCCTTTGAGTATCATCGGGCCAATAAGGAGCCGAGTCGCCCGATAAATATATGATCAATTCCTCATCTAACACAGAAGATATTCATTTGAACAACAAAACAAATACCTCTCTGGATTTAGCCATGGCGGATAAGACCTTCAAGTATGTGATTGTCGGCGGTGGCGTCGCGGCTGTAAGTTTCTTTCATCTTCCTCATTTTGTTTCCGATCGATTCTCTGATTCTGGAGTTCGAAATTTGCAAGGCGAAACAGAAATTGTCAAATTTCTTCTTGTTCGGATAAATTAGTTCGAGGTTGTAGTGTTTTGAAGTATCCTGTTCTGAGAATTTCGTATATTTCTTCTCCTTTTCTTCAAATTATTAGTTGATGCTTCAGCTGCAGTGCACGAATTCTGCTGATTAGCGACATTTCCAATGTTTCATTCTTCATATTTTTCCCCCGATGAAATAAGTATTGTTAATTACTTCAGATTCTATACCGAAACATTACATTGACAGAATCTGATTGAAAGTTCTTTTACATTTAATAATAATACTAACAAAATCTTGATGTGTTGCTCTATCAATTGTATTTTGTCAAGTCTAAAAAGATTCTTGAAAAAACAATTGATTTTTCATATGCATGTGGATTTTATTTTAATAGAATTTAGTTGTTAAATTGGACATTGATTTATTCATTTTTCAATGTTAGTGGTAAGATTTAAGTGGAGTAGTTTATATACTTCATTTGAACAATCCAGTGTGATGTAGAAATGTTGGAGAACAATGGAACGAAGTAAAATATAATTATAAAGGGTAGGAAGAACAAATCTGGACCAGTTATTTGCTTTCTGTTCTCCTCAAAATTAAAACCAATTGATTTCAAGAATTCCACACCAAATTGTAATGAACCGATGGCTCCTAATTGGCGTGTTTGATTAGGGAGGAACGCTGTCAAACAATTTGATCTTCTTTATACAGGACATCATTGTTTCGCCTTCTTAGGGATTTGTTTGCCGATGCAGGGATATGCAGCTAGGGAATTCGCAAAACAGGGACTAAATGCTGGAGAGTTGGCAATTATATCCAAGGAGGCGGTACGTTATCTCATCATTGTTTGACTCATGTTTGTGCCAGGCCTTTACAGTTTCAAATAACACTTATTGGAAATGATATCTTATTGCTTTCTAATGGAATAACTTGCCAAACACTTCCTTTATTTCCCTCATTCGGGAATGGAAATTGGCATAAATTTTCTGTCCATGCGCTTGGTTATTATGTGTATATTTTCTACTGTCAGGTTGCTCCTTATGAACGTCCAGCTCTCAGCAAAGCCTATCTATTTCCCGAGTGTGAGTTGAATTTGACTGAACTTGAGCTCTATGCCATCATCTTTCTTTCTTCCACCTGAATTTTTGGTGTAAGGGGAAAAGCTTTCAAAATGGGTGCACGTTTCCAATTTCCATCTCATAGTTATTTGGTTTTTGCAGCACCTGCTAGATTACCGGGGTTCCATGTATGTGTTGGAAGTGGTGGGGAGAGGCTGCTTCCAGAGTGGTACAAGGAAAAAGGTCATATTACTTATTTCATTCTTGAAATTCCTTCATTCAGCAGTTTTCTAATGACTTCCTAACCAATCACTTCAGGGATCGAGTTGATTCTTAGTACAGAAATTGTTGAAGCAAATCTCTCTGCCAAGACACTCAAAAGTGCTTCTGGGGCAATTTTTAAGTATCAGATTTTGATTATTGCCACTGGTTCTACCGTGAGGATTCATCCCTCCCTTCTGCGAGGGCATTCTGGATTATCTTCTCCGTGATTCCGTTATATATGACTTCACTTGCATGTTGCTTGCAGGCAATAAGATTGTCAGACTTTGGAGTTCAAGGAGCTGATGCCAAAAACATTTTTTATTTGAGAGAAATTGTCGATGCTGATCAACTAGTTGAAGCAATCAAAACAAAGAAAAATGGAAAAGTGGTTGTTGTTGGAGGAGGATACATAGGTCTTGAGCTTGGTGCAGCGTTGAGAATGAACAACTTTGATGTCAGCATGGTTTATCCTGAACCATGGTGCAGTAAGTAGTGTTCATACAATTCCAATGGAAATATACTCTCGGCTTTAAACTTTTACAATATCATTCAATTCTATTCTTGCAGTGCCCCGGCTGTTCACTCCTGCAATAGCTGCTTTCTATGAAGGTTATTATGCAAAAAAAGGAGTCACAATCATTAAAGGCACAGTCGCTGTAGGCTTCACTGTTGATGCTAATGGAGAGGTAAGACCTTAAGAGCACCATCTTTCACAACTCCCACCTGGTTAAAGACATTTTCGATGCGACGGAGGCTGTAACGGTTATTGAATGTGGTTCAGGTCAAGGAAGTGAAACTTAAAGACGGGCGGGTTTTAGAAGCAGACATTGTTGTTGTTGGTGTTGGTGGACGACCCTTGACAAACTTGTTCAAGGGCCAAGTCGAAGAAGAAAAAGGAGGCATTAAGGTGAGTGTCAAATGAAATTAAGTTTTCAAGAAAGCTCATGACTTTCCTCTTAGCAGTTTGTCCTTGTCTTGTAGACTGATGGATTCTTCAAAACGAGTGTTCCTGATGTGTATGCCGTGGGCGATGTAGCTACTTTTCCTTTGAAGCTTTACAGTGAATTGAGAAGAGTCGAGCATGTTGACCATTCTCGCAAATCAGCAGAGCAAGCTGTAAAGGTGGGCGAACTTCATCCCACGAACATACATTTAAGATGTCAACAAAATACCATTTGTTTAAGACCCTTTTGCTTTAATGGCAGGCCATCAAGGCGAGCGAAGCGGGCAAGGCCGTCGAGGAGTATGACTATCTACCATACTTCTACTCTCGATCCTTCGATTTGTCGTGGCAGTTCTACGGGGATAACGTTGGAAACGCGGTGTTGTTCGGAGACAGCAGTCCTGAATCAGCAACTCACAAGTTTGGATCATATTGGATTAAAGATGGGAAGGTTGTGGGAGCTTTCTTAGAGGGTGGTAGTCCTGAAGAAAACAAGGCCATTGCCAAAGTTGCAAGTGTTCAGCCATCAGTTGAGAACGCAGATCTGCTGATACAGGAAGGTATCTCCTTTGCATCTAAGGTTTAAAAATTTCTTCCATTCACACCATTAACTCAATAAATTCAGGTGCTTAGACTGAATATTTGATCTTCATATAGCAATGAACTCTCTCTAGTTTCTTAACTCTGTCTGTTTGTCATTGGAAAATCGAACTGAATCTTAGAACTAAATTTATCGAAGATTTTAAATTTAGTGTTGGATCAGCCAATGAAATGTTTAAGATTTTACATTAAAAAGCACGAGAAACATAGAAAAATATATTTTAGGATTTCATGGTTTCCAACATCTAGAACATATTGAGATAGTTAAATTTTTCTTGACTCATTAAGAAGTACGAGATATCTTAGAAACAATGTTAGCGCAACATGGGATGAATGCGTTTTTAAAAATTTTTTTTTTTATTAATGTTTTTGCATGCTTTGGAAAACATGTGAATTCATGATCATTTTGCTGGCATAATTATTTTTTCGACTGATATATGTCAATATTTATTTTATTAGCATAAACTTTTATCAACACTTATATTAGTTTTTCCAATGCAAAATTTGTAGCAATGATCGTTTGTATATATGTTTATAAAAAAATTAATTTTGAATGAATTATTAATGTAGGCAAATGCATTAATTATTAGCCGTCAGGTAAGTATCTCTAGTTTAAGGTTGTTTATGACCTTAAAAAATAATTAAAAAAAACAAGAAAAAATCTCTAGTTTAAGGTTGTCGGAAAAAGAAAAAAAAATATATACTTTTTTTAATGGTTGGAATAAGGCATTTTAACATGTTATTCTTTATTTTTTTTTTTTAATGAAAATAGTCTCTTTGATTTTTTAAATTGTACTTTCATTTGTATCCTTAAACCAGAAAATTTATGAGGGTATTAATATTCAAACTTAAAATTATATCCCTTTCTAAGCGAATGTTTTCCGACTAAACTTGATTTATGTTAATTTCGTATAGTGTAACACAATATTTAATGTCCGATTCTCTCTTGTGAAGATTTTCATCTTTACCAACTTGGTCCGATTGTGATGCATGAACCATTTCACGAAGCATGTGTCTAGATAGTCCAAAGTCTCGATTGTTAGCTCGCGATCTTCTGATTAAAAAATGTCAGATTCAGATGTATAAGTGGATTATTACGCAGTGAGGATTGTCACATTTCATTCGTTTCCCATTTCTCACTCCAGTATTGAACTTTGGTTATTTCTTTTTATTTCATTCATTTTCCATTTTCTACCTCTAAATTAAATTGACTTGTCATAATAATTTCAATCCTAGTAATATCAACGATACTACCACTTCTTAATACTTGATATAGTATATACATGTACTATGCAGATATCAATCCCGTATCCATTTTTTATTTTTTGTGGGGCAAATATTTCAATACATTACATGTCATTACATAAAACACATAAACATAAATAATATGATGCATGCAGATGCCAGAGATATACACCTATCATACATCATCCAATCTATTATTTCGTATCTAAAATTCTTGAACTTAAAAATGATGTATAGTTGATTTCGTATAATTATTTGATTAATCTAGAAAACTTTCATATTTATAATTAGCCTTCATTACTAAATTTTTATTAAGCATTTAATAAATTTTTAATCCTTCAAATTTAAATTTATTATTTCTTAGAATATAAATAATTTCATGTATACAATATACTTGAGAATTCCTTGTACAAATAAAAAACTGTTCTAAGGCTTAGTCCGATATGAGCTAGCAGAGCGACCTAATGGACCTATAGATCATGGGCCCCAACGATCCGAGATTAACCGGCTAAACTCATTAACCTTGTTAACCAATATTTGTTAACTACTAGGACACTCCACTATAGCCTAGTAGTTGCACTCCCCTCACTATAGATATATTTCTGTCCATTTGATATAACCATGATTAGTAAGTCGATTCTTTACACGTTGTTCGTAACTAGAGCTGGATCAATTTACCGCTTTACCCCTAAAGTTACTTTTGTTCCTTAAGTCCCACTGATCTTCTCATGAACAATTGGTTTGTGGTCCAACCACCAAACTGAATCCCTCTCGGGCCAATGAGACTTGGAGTCAGTACTTAAGGGAACAACCTCTCTACTATCCCTAAAAGCGGGTAGGAGGGAATTCCATCTTACACCCTATGTCCTCAGCTATTCACCCAGTCTTACCCCTGAAATGGAAGGCTTATTGAGTCGGCGAACTCGGGCCACTCTCACCCATGCAAATCTAAGGATAATTCCGAATAAACAAGAGCTCATAGTTAGCTCAGGATTAAGATCGAGTTATTTAGATCATCGAATGAAAAAATCAGTCTCAATAGTAAACGGCATTATAAAGTGAGAGTGGTTTTCTTCATGGTCCAATCTTATGCAATACTCATTGCACAGGACGCCCCCACTCACATGTCTCCACATGTACAATTTAGTGATCACATTGTTTATATCATATACAAAAGTGGGCCGCATCCATAGTGTCTCCAGAATATCCCTGTACTATAGATCATTTTGACTATATACTTGAACTTGATCTACTCTTATGTCTCTATATGTAGTTCAACTAATCATACTATAGCAGAGTGTTCTTAGTTTATTGGATTTAGATTCATGATCGTAACATTCACTTTATTCAATAACAATCTTTACTTAATAAACATCAATAATAACTTTATTGAAAACCGAATATATTTTTGTTTACAAACTATGAGTTTTAGGACATAAAACCCAACAAACTCCCACTTGGACTAAAACTCTTGTGGGGTTTTATAATGTTGAGTAGAGAGGAAGACATACATACAATGAACTAGGGCATCACACACTCATGCATTTTCTCCCACTTGCCCCAGATTACATAACTCGTAGTCCTAGACTCACTAGGTGCCCTTCAAACACTTTAGCCATGGGGGCTTTGTAAATGGACCAGCAATGTTGTGCTCTGAAACTATCTATGTGACGATCACATCTCCTCGTTGCACAATCTCCCTTATGAGATGATATTTGCGCTCAATATGTTTTCCTCGCTTATGGCTTCTTAGTTCTTTAGAATTTGCAACTGCTCCACTATTATCACAATAAAGAGTGATAGGCAAATGCATATTTGGAACGACTTCCAAATCAGTTAAGAACTTCCTAAGCCATACTGATTCTTTCGCTGCTTCACAAGCAACAACATACTTAGCTTCCATGGTGGAATCAGCAATGCAACCTTGCTTTATGCTTCTCCATATGATTGCTCCTCCGTTCAAAGTGAAAACAGATCTCGATGTCGATTTCCTCGAATCGATATCGGTCTGAAAATCTGAGTCAGTGTACCCTGTGAGGATCAGATCCTTAGCGTCATATATTAGCATATAGTCCCTCGTTCTCCTAAGACACTTGAGGATATTTTTAACGGCAGTCCAATGAGCATGTCCCAGATTGGACTGATATCTGCTGACAATCCCCACAGCATAGCATATGTAGGGTCGGGTACACAACATGGCATACATCAGACTACCGATTGCGGATGCATAGGGAATATGATTTGGTTCATATCAGAATATGTCTCATATCCTCAATTTCTTGAGGTGTCTTAGGACTTTGTTCCTTCGACAAATGAACTCCATGCCTGAAAGGTAATAATCCTTTCTTGGAGTCCTGCATCTTATATCGAACCAACATTTTGTCGATATACGATGCCTAAGACAATGCTAGTGTTTTGTTCTTGCGATTCCGAACAATTTGGATTCCAAGAACAAACTAAGCCTCTCCCAAATGTTTTATTTGGTATTGTGTCGCTAGCCAATGCTTTATTTCAGTCAAAAATCCCACATCATTCTGAGTGTGTTTGATCTCTACCAAATTCTGCCCTTGAAAATCTCTGCATGCAGAGCAAATGGAAGAACGAAAGAGAATCTTACTGGGAGCTGTGGAAGACTCTATTTTTCGTCGATCGGCGGTGGTGGTGAGGATGCCGACGGCGACGTAGAATGAGAAATGGAATCGGAGCATCAAAGTGATGTGACACCGAAAGAGTCGCATCTTTTGAATATAAATTCTTATTAAATTTTATGACGCAATTCATTATAATCAAATTAAATTTGATGTAGTTTAATAAAGAAATTAATAGATTAGTGTTATTAGCCATTTAAATTATATTATTTTAGTTAAGATTTATTATATGGAATATTAAGTAATTAGTTGAGTAAAATATGATCATAATTAGGGCATTAAAAGCACCGGAGATTGGGGTTGCGGTGGATGCCTGCCACTGCCAACGCCGCCGCCACGTGTGATGTATGGTTAATGAGTAAGTGGCTGGCCGCCCATTATTATTGTCACAATACCATACTATATATTCGATCACATGAATTCTAGACTTGGACCTATATAAATATATAGTCTAAGTTAAATAATTAATGCTTTGTTTTTTTTTAATATATAATTGAAGTAATTATGTATCCACATTTTTATAGTATCTCAAAATTTAATTAAATACAAATTTATGAAATAGATTAAAATTAAAAGTTTAATTATGAAGTATAGGTATGATATTGATAGATTGAATATTAATTTTATATCTAATAAATTTATTATTTTAAAAAAATATATAATATATCGTAGATCAATTTTATTTATAAACTTGTCCGTTCATATCTATTTTGATTCAACCAGACTTTCACAACCTGCTTTATAATTTTTCCATTCAAAATTAAATTAACTACTTTGTATCAATAAATTCAAACTTAATTTATTTGATAATTATTGACTAGATAAATATAACACGTAAATAAAAATCTTAAAATACAACCAAAATTTGTAATCATCGAAGAATTTTCTTTGAAATTTATATTCATATCAAATGTGTTATTGTTATTGGACTAACATAACCGGTTGAAGTTTAGGATATAAGAGATATAGGAGAGAAAGTATAAAAATAATTTGATTTTTGTGTAAAAAATGTACCTTCAATATTTAAAATAATATAACAAAATAACTATAAAATTTTAATATTAAGTGAAATTAAAAGAAGGTAAGAGTAAATCGTAAAATTAAAATAAATATATAAATAATTTCGCATTCAAGAGTAAATAATAAATAAAGAGAGTAAATAGTAAATAAAGGAGGTAGATAACAACATCTCAACCATATTAACATTAAAAATTAAAAAAAAAAATCGTAGTAAATCATAAATTAAAAAATCATATTAAAATTAAAATTAAAATTAAAAATAAATAATAAATAAATAATTTCGTATAAAAAGTAAATCCTAACTAAAAAATTAAATAACAAAATTAGAAAAAAAAATCTAAAAAATATTTTAAAAAAAAATCTTAACAACAAAATCTAACTAAAAATAAATCCTAAATAAAAAAATCTAAATAATATTTAAAAAAATCTTAACAACAAAATCTAAATTATATTAAAATAAAAATATAATAGATAAATAAGAATATAAAATCTAAACCATATTAAAATTAAAATTAAAAAATTAATATCAAAATAAATCTAAATAACAAAATTTAAATAATATCAAAATTAAAATTTTAATAAAACAAATAAATAATCTAAATAATATTTAAAAAAATCTTAACAACAAAATCTAAATTATATTAAAATAAAAATATAATAGATAAATAAGAATATAAAATCTAAACCATATTAAAATAAAAAATAAAAAATTAATATCAAAATAAATCTAAATAACAAAATTTAAATAATATCAAAATTAAAATTTTAATAAACAAATAAATAATCTAAATAACCAAATCTAAATATATTTAAAATTAAAAAAAAAAATAATAATTTCATGTATAAATAGGAATCACCTCTCATTTATGGGAGCAACAAGTTTGAAGATTTGTGATAGAAAAAAATGAGTTACAGAGAAAGTTTAGTTTTGTTAAACTGTTTGTGTTGGGCAATTTTGGCATTAGCTTTGTTTTCTTCGGCTGAAAAGCTTTCGGTTTCTTACGATGGAAGAGCTCTCTCACGATTAATGGACAAAGAAAAATTATCATTTCGGGTTCAATTCATTATCCTCGCAGCACTCCTGAGGTTTTCTTGTTTTTTCTTTTAATAATTTTAATTAATTAAATTATTGTTTTATTTTCATAAATAATTAATAAGTTTTCTTTTAATAATTTTAATTAATTAAATTATTGTTTTAATTTCATAAATAATTAATAAGTTCTTGGTTTATTATGGGAGGTAGATGTGGCCATTTTTGATAGACAATTTCATAAATAATTAATAAGTTCTTGGTTTATTATGGGAGGTAGATGTGGCCATTTTTGATAGACAAGGCTAAAAATAATTAATAAGTTCTTGGTTTATTATGGGAGGTAGATGTGGCCATTTTTGATAGACAAGGCTAAACAAGGTGGCATTGACGCAATTGAAACCTATGTGTTTTGGAATGCACACGAGCCTCAACAAGGCCAAGTAAGTTCACATTAGATATTATTTTTTTTTAAAATAAAATTATTATTTCTAAGTTTTTTTTTTCTTTTTCCTTTCTAGTATGATTTTTCAGGAAATAATGATCTCGTCAGATTTATTCGAACAATTCAAGAACAAGGGCTGTATGCTATTCTCAGAATTGGACCATATGTTTGTGCGGAATGGAATTATGGGTATATATATATATTTTTTATAATTTTTATTTTTATTTTGTGTTTATTTTTTAATTAATTTTATTTTATTTGCAGTGGATTTCCTGTTTGGTTGCATAACCTTCCCGGCATTGAGTTCAGGACCAAGAATAAAGTTTTCATGGTTAATTATCACTACTTTCATTATTATTTAACATTTAGTTTTGATGGTAACTTTGTTAATTATCACTAAATATATATAAATTTTTATTGTGATTTAGGATGAAATGGAAAAATTCTCGACAGTGATAATAAATACGATGAAGGATTATGAGTTATTTGCATCACAAGGAGGACCCATCATTATTGCTCAGGTTTTATTTTATTTTTCATTAGTTAATTATTTTTTTTTCAAACAAAAGAGCAAAGAAAAATAGTATTGATTATGTTTTTTTTATATATATAAATAATCAGATTGAAAACGAGTACGGAAACATAAAAGGATCATACGGACAAGCTGGGAATGAATATGTGAAGTGGTGTGCCGATTTGGCACTTTCTTACAACCTCAGCATTCCTTGGATCATGTGTCAAGAGGATGATGCTCCTCACCCCATAGTAAGGATTTAATAATTTTTTTTTTTTAAATTATAACTATTATTATATAATAATTTTTTTTTTGTTTCTTTCTTACAGATTAACACTTGCAATGGATTCTACTGTGACCAGTTCAAACCCAATAGCAAAAACAGTCCCAAAATGTGGACTGAGAATTGGACTGGCTGGTATTAATCTTTTTATTTAATTATTTATTTTAAGAAAATAAAGATTTTTTTACACCTAAAATAATTAGGTTCAAGGCTTGGGGTTCAAGAGATCCCTTGAGAACAGCTGAGGATCTTGCATTTGCTGTGGGACGTTTCTTCCAATACGGTGGAACCTTGCAAAATTACTACATGGTACAACACCTTATTATCCTATAATTAGTTTTTCTTTTGCAAATTCTAATATTTTGTTCCTTCTATAGTATCATGGTGGAACGAACTTTGGTAGAACCTCGGGTGGTCCTTATATCACCACATCGTATGATTACAATGCACCTCTCGATGAATATGGTACATTCGCGACTTGTTTAGATTTTGATCCCGGTTGTGATTTGAGTATGGTATTTGGTATGTTGAGTTTAGTGATAATGAGTTGTGGTTAATTAGGGAATAAGGCCCAGCCAAAATGGGGACATTTGAAGCAACTTCATGATCTTGTGAAGTCTATGGAGGAAGTTTTGACCTATGGTGAGGTCAATCACACCGAATACGGTCACTTGACAACAGTAAGTATCTCTCTCTCTCTCTCTATATATGTATCATTTGGTGAGCCAAAGTCAACACGGAAAAGCTTTTCCACTCCTTTCCCTATTCTCCATTTAAACGAGGATTTCTCCCTCTATTTGAGGCGGGTTCCGTAGGTTAAATGGACATACGGGATAGGGAAGCTTTCCAACTCCCTACCCTATTCTCCATTTAAACGGATTCGAGGTGGATTCTTGTAACTTATATGGACATCTCAAACCTAACCGTCACCGAAAACATTTGTAACAGGCAACAAGTTACACCTATAAGGGGAAATCAAGTTGCTTCTTTGGAAATGCAGAAAATGGTGACAGAGATATCACCTATGGAAATACAACCTACANCGTAATCGCCTCGCTGTTCAAGTTACTTGTTAGAACATCTTGTATTTTAGGTTTTTAGGCTTTTAGGCTTTTAGGTTTTTAGATTTGATGTCATTTTCCCTTTTGTGTTCTTCATATTTGATACAACTTTCGGTCTTGTTTATACAACTTTCTCTGTTGTTTTAGGTTTAGGACGTTAGGCTTGTTGTTTTAGGTTTAGGACGTTAGGCTTGTTTAAATTTACTATGTTTAATGGTTATAGTTTATTCCTTCCATCACTCTTCTTGGCTTCTTTCCCTTTCCCAAAGAATCATCCATTTTTCTTCCACTCACTTCCTCTCACTATTTTTAAGCAAAACAACAAATGATTCGTCCAACTTTTACTTCCTTTTAAGAGACGAATTTGGGGAACAAATGTTTTTATCAAAGAAATAACGAATGTTTTTATCGAACCCGAATTGACTCAATTCGATTTAAAAATCTTGGGTTGACCCGAATCAAACAAAACATTTAAAATCAATTAAAAACTTTAGCGTATACACACGGATTTGTCGTTCCAATTTGGGCTTACAAGTTTTACTATTAATATTTTTGGTTTGTCGTTCTAATTTGGGCTTACAAGTTTTACTATTAATATTTTGTAGAGTTTCTTTTACACATATATTTTTTTTTAGGTTTAATTTATATTATTATTTTTAGTTCTTTGGTATATTTTAAGTTTCATTTTTTTTAGTTTCTTTTGTATATTTTAAATTTGATCTTTTATATTTTTTTTTATATATTTTAAATTTCTCCACATCCTATCCAACATATGAATAATTGCAATAAACACATGTATATGTTATAATCCTTTCTACTATAAATTTAGATAGGGCTTGCAAGGGTGTAAAAAAAATAATAATAATAATAATAATAAATAAATAAATAAATAAACAATTATAAAAAATTATAAAAAAAAATTATGTTAAAACAAACCATCTCTCACTTCTCTCTCTTTGTAATTATCTCTCATCAACTCATCCCTTAGTGCCACTAAGTCATGTTGACTGTAAAAATACAAATGACTTTTACCCCTCAACTCATCCCTTAAGCCAGAAACCCACATTTAGCCCAAAACTCACATTTACTGCAAAAACAAACAACCAAAACAAATGATCTTTACCACTCAACTCAGTTGAAAATTAAAATTTACTCTATACCAACTTGTAAAAAATAAACGAAACCAACTTGTTTAAATAATACTCACGAACCTGTGAAGGACGTGTCGAGAGGGGAGAGACAAGGAGACAAAGAAATTCTCAAAACTCTTTTCTATTACACTGTACTTTAACTCATTAACTCTTGCTCTTTTCTCTCTCGGCTCTCTCTTCCCTGCTATTACACTGAGAAACAAAAGGTATTTATAATTTTTATAAAGCTAAAAATGGCCATCAGAATCCCACTCTTTCTAACCTATAAACCAAACGTATTTATAATTAAAGCTAAAAATGGTGATTAGAATCCCAAAGGACATAACCACAAACTCATAATAACGACTTCTGAGGGCTGTCTTAGGTATATCCCCTTCTCTGACCCTCAACTGATGATACCCCGACCTTAAGTCAATTTTGGAGAAGACTGTTGCTCCCTGTAGCTGATCAAACAGGTCGTCAATTCTCAGGAGGGGGTACTTATTCTTTATGGTGACCTTGTTTAGTTCCCTATAATCAATACACTACTGCATGGACCCGTCCTTCTTCTTGACAAACAGAATAGGGGCTCCCCAGGGTGATACACTAGGTCGGATGAAACCCTTATCCAACAGCTCCTATAACTGTTCCTTCAATTCCCTGAGTTCTGCAGGTGCCATCTTGTAAGGTGCCTTAGAGATCGGCACAGTTCCTGGTTCTAAATCGATCCCAAAATCGACTTCCCTAGCTGGGGGCAAACCTTGCAGATCCTCCAGAAAGACATCTACGAACTCCCTGACGATGTATACCGATGAGGTTATTTGTTTGTTACTATTGTCTAAGGTCACGCGGCTAGAAATGCACTTGCGCCACTACGAATCAACTTCTTAGCCCTTAATGATGTTATGACGCTTGGGGCTCCTTTGGAAGTGGCTCCCTTGTAGGTAAAGTTGTCCCCTAACGGGAGCCTGAGAGTCACTATTCGAGTCTCGCAATCTATCAAAACGCAATTCTCACCTAGTCAATCCATACCCAAGATGACATCGAAGTCTTGCATGCTTAACACTATCAGTGTAGCTTCGATGACACGTCCTTATATTGTTATACCACCTCTCTTAACCCTATGGGTAGCTAACAACAGCTCGTGAGCAGGGGTGGACACTAATAGGGTAATCTCTAAAAGTTCTTTCTCTAGGTATGCTAGCTCTACAAACTCCTCAAATATGAAAAAATGCGTTGAACCCGAATCAAACAATACTAGAGCAAGATGACCAAATACAAGTAGCATACCTGTGACAACTGCATCAGGCTGGTCAGCTTTTCTGGCTGTTGTTGCATGGGCTACAGCTCGCCCCTATTGATGTTGAGCACTCTGGCCTCTCTGATGCTGTACTACAGGCCAGTTGATATGCTGATCGTTCCTCTGAGGGTCGTCCACTACAAAGTGCCTTACCTAGCCGCATCTGTAGTAGGCGTCTGTTCCTGCCCTGCATTCCCTCGTGTGAGGACACCGACAGTTAGGATAATGGATCATGTTTCGTACCGGGACTCTTCTTCATTTATCAGTGCAGCCATGGGGCGGTTTACCAGTTCTGGGGTGGCTACGGTCTGTCCCCTTTCCCTGGGATGCAGTGTGGGATGATTGAACTGTTCCCAACTGTAGTTTGTCGGTGCGGGACGCATCGAGCAAAGTCGCCACTTGAAAGGCTTTTGCATAGACGAAGAATGACTGGGATGCCACATTCCCCTTCAGTTTCTCCCTCAGGCCGACAATAAATCGTTCGGCCTTCAACTCATCAGAACTAACATAGGCTGGAGAAAACCTTGCTAGCCTATTGACTCTAAGTCATATTCCTCCACTAACTTGTCTCTCTATTTCAGTTCGAGGAATGATTGTTGTTTTTCGATAATCGGCCAGGGAAATCCTTTATCTTTTCGATGAGAGGAAATCGTTGACGGGAAGTTGTTGGAAGAAAATAAAACGCGTAAAATAACAAAGAGAGAGAATTGCTGAAATATTGACCGTGCATAAAATCAGGTGGTTAAATCTTCTAAACCGATTTAACTATTTAAATATAATTTATCCTAAAAATGATTGGGGAGTGGCCAACTAAATCTGTGCCGCTTCTACAAAATTGCCGTTTAAAACTTTGGTAATCCATTCAACGTGTTTATCAAATGGTCAAACGGAGGTACTCAATCAACTAATGAAATCGTGTGAATCTAAATAAGGAAAAACTCAGGTTTTATCTAACAATCTCCTCCTAAAACCTGTGGTAGCTCCCCAGCCGGTGCCTTACTCACTCCTCCTTCAATTGAAGGTGTCGTAATCCATTCGACGTGTTTGTCAAATGGTCAAACGGAGGTACTCAATCAACTAATGAAATCATGTGAATCTAAATAAGGAAAAACTCAGGTTTTATCTAACAATCTCCTCCTAAAACCTGTGGTAGCTCCCCAGTCGGTGCCTTACTCACTCCTCCTTCAATTGAAGGAGCCAGCCGGTGCCTTTTCTGGTTGTTGTTGCATGGCCTACAACTCGCCCCTATTGATGTTGAGCACCCTGGCCTCTTTGATGCTGTACTACAGGCCGGTTGATATGCTGATCGTTCCTCTAAGGGCAGTCCACTACAAAGTGCCCTACCTAGTCGCATCTGTAGCAGGCGTCTGTTCCTGCCCTACATTCCCTCGTGTCAGGACGCCGACAGTTAGGACAAAGGATCATGTTTCGTACCGGGACTCTTCTTCATTTATCAGTGCGGCCACGAGGCGGTTTACCAGTTCTGGGGTGGCTATGGTCTATCCCCTTTCCCTGGGCTGCAGTGTGGGATGATTGTACTGTTCCCAACTATAGCTTGTCGGTGCGGGACGCGTCGAGCAGAGTCGCCACTTGAAGGGCTTTTGCATAGACGAAGAATGACTAGGATGCCACATTCCCCTTCAGTTCCTCCCTCAGGCCGGCAATAAATCGTTCGGCTTTCAACTCATCAGAACTAACATAGGCTGGAGAAAACCTTGCCAGCCTATTGAACTCTAAGTCATATTCCTCCACTAACTTGTCTCTCTGTTTCAGTTCGAGGAATGATTGTTGTTTTTTCGATAATCGGCCAGGAAAATCTTTTTCTTTTCGGTGAGAGGAAATCGTTGACGGGAAGTTGTTGGAAGAAAATAAAACGCGTAAAATAACGAAGAGAGAGAATTGACGGGGGAGTAGCCAACTAAATCTGTGCCACTTCTACAAAATTGGCGTCTAAAACTTTGGTAATCCATTCGACGTGTTTGTCAAATGGTCAAACGGAGGTTCACACGAGGCTCACCGGAGCAGACGTTAGGTGTCGAGGACCCATCGCGTGGAGGAGTGAGCGAGCCTGCTCGGGATGGACCCCACCACGATGTATTTATTTTCGCGCTTTGCATTTTCTTTTACTCAAAAAAGAAGTTTTTTCGATAATCAGCCAGGAAAATACTTTTCTTTTCGGTGAGAGGAAATGGTTGACAGGGAGTTGTTGGAAGAAAATAAAACGGTAAAATAACAAGAGAGAGAATTGTTAAAAGATTGACTGTGCTTAAAATCATGTGGTTAAATCTTCAGATTTACTATTTAAATATAATTTATCCTAAAAATGGCTGACCAATGCCACTTCCTACAAAATTGCCGTCTAAAACTTTGGTAATCCATTCGACTTGTTTGTCAAACGGAGGTACTCAATCAACTAATAAAATCGTGTGAATCTAAATAAGGAAAAAACTCAGGTTTTATCTAACAATGCCTGCATTTTCAGTCTGATTGGGAAATATTTGTGAAGATAGACATCTTTAAACTGGCACCCGGTAATAAACTCTTGTGGTATAATGGTCTTCTGAACACCCTTCCACCAGAATTGCGCCTCTCCTTTCAGCATATACGTTCCACAATAGACTTGTACTTTAGCGGGCAGTTCATAAAATGGAAGGTCGTTTCTATGGCCTTTAGCCAATTCTCAGCGGCGATGGGATCCACCTTGCCTCCGTCAAAGGAAGGCT